ATTTGCCTGTACACTTACTTGCTATAGGTAGACCATTTTAACACATAAGAAATTTTTTTTTTATAGAATGTACTTTAGAGTTTGTGCATGATGCTGGATAGTTTGATCAAGCACAGTCTGCTCTTGGTGTCTTATTTACATTCTTCAGATAAGGTTGTGCCTTATAATCCTATCCTGGATTCTATAAACGTGTATGAAATTTCAGGTGATCTCATTGTAATATATGCTTATTCTCTGTTCACAATTGCCTTTTGGAGATTTAGTTTGAGAAATATTTCTACTACTTCTGAGCAGAACTGATGGCATTGGCCTCTCAGCACCCCAAGTTGGAGTAAATGTACAACTTATGGTATTTAATCCTGCTGGTGAACGAGGTGAAGGAGAGGAAATTGTTCTTGTGAACCCAAAAATATATAAAGCCTCAACACGCACTTTATTTTTCAATGAGGGCTGCTTATCCTTTCCAGGAATATATGCAGATGTAGAGGTAATTTATTTTAGCTCCAGTGTTGGTTGACAAACCATTTAATTAGCTTGTTGAGCCCAGAACAGTAGAATGACAATGCCAAAAGAAATATAGTTACAACAAGAACAACAATATTAACAATAACAGCCATAATTATCCAATTATTTGGGATTGGCTATATTGATCTTTTCCTTTCATTGAGATCACAATACCAAAAGAAATTATAATTAGATTGTAGTTACTTATTTTATACTTCTGCAAATCTTTTTGGAATTCTGACTACTATCAAATGAACTAGTTAATATTTTTATGTAGGCACTTATCTGGATATCATCAAAGAGCAGAATATCATAGTTTTGTTCAAGAATGCTGATGAATTTAAAGTTACAAAGTGTTTAGGTGTCTAAAATCTTGCATTTGGAACTACTAGAAATTGTTTCAAGGACTACTAGAAATTGAAAAGGTTTTTATTTGTAAAGGACTTAAATGGTTACAAAGAAAAATTAGAAAAATTGAGGGTACAATGAAAGAAGTGGGAGATATGATTCAACATTTTACCATGTCATATGTTCTCAAAATTGTCACTGTGCACTTCAAGATAAATGAGTAGCAATTTGGTTATTTTCGAAAGTGGCTGGAGATATACTGAGATGGACTTAGAAATAACCATAATAGGTTTTTCCTTTCCTATATTGCGTTTAAATACTAATTCTGTATGTATTTGTGGTTCACCTATGACACATTACTCGCTAATGTGGCAACTCAAATGACAGTGTTGGAAACCTGTCTGACATTATCAATTTAAACAGTACATCTTAATATGCATATTCATGGAATTACTTGTTGCCTTATATTTTAGTGTACCTTTAATTAGCTGGGTATTACCGCTTAAGGTAACTTTTGACTCTTTTGTCCTTACAGAGACCAGCATCTATCAAGATTGATGCTCGAAATATAACAGGTGCAAGGTTTAGAGTTACCCTTTCTGGACTTCCTGCTCGAATTTTCCAGCATGAGTTTGATCATTTGCAGGTTTTTCACTCGATCAAAATTTCTACTCATATTAAACCTCTGCTATTGTATTCTGTTTCCTGATGAATGATGTAGTGAAAGAAAACAATTAGTATCAATATTTAGAATTGATGCTTCTTCAGACAAACTTTCATCTATCATAAACTAACTAAAGGATGTAGAATGTTATATTACCATGGAGTCAAGGATAGTTAGCTACAACCCGATTTTCAAGAGTTTAGAGCAAAACATATTGCTAATAATAAAATCCCCATACGCTACTACTCAAGGTTTTATTTGTAAAATTTCACTAGAGTTCAAGGATTTAAATCTCAGTCCAGTACCAGTTTTGGTAACAAATAAACTGGTGTGGTACCAATGTACCATGCGGTATATTGACCTGTATCGTTTGGTGTCATTGAATAAAATAATAATAAATAATGAATGATATTGTATCAATAATCGCTTTTATCCTTACTGATGGTTCAAATGGTAAAATCAAATTGTCTATACTTTATAGTTACTATCTGTTGTCCATGATTAATTTGCTGTCAACTAAATCATATATTGTGCTTCAAGTGTTCTATTTCTTTAACCTTTCCTCCTAACGACTATATTCTGTCAACAACTAGTCCATATCTTGACGTTACCTTTTTTCTTATCGCCTCTGATTTTCAACTAGGTTTAGCACTATGGAGAATCTCCTGATTTCCTCCAATGGTTGCCTTTTAGCTACGTAAAATTTCAAAATGAATACCTGAATCCTTTGTGAATTGCACCATCAGAAATGTCTAGCATGATCTTTGGCGGACATGGGAATTTTTTGTTTTCCTACCTTTGGCAAACAATATCTGCTTCATAGCATCTGCCTGATTTTTTTTCACCAACCAGAAGAAATTTTATTTAGTTATTTGTTTGTTTTTTTTTCCTCTCTATCAATATGATCAGAAGGTCAAATGTCTCCGACCTACAATAATTTCAGTAATTTTGATCATTTATCCAAATTGTTGCATTGGCTTGTTTGTTACTTTGTTAGATTATATAATGTATACTGGTTTTCATATTTTTAGGGAATTCTTTTCTTTGATCGGATGACTGAAGATGTTCTTGAAAGTATCCGTTCGGAGTTGAAGGTTAGTGGTGAATATTTATCTTGAGAATGATGTGCACCGGTTAATGTTATAATTATGGGTCTCTAGTTGGGTTCATTCACTGGTACCGGTCATGTTTCACCTATTCTGATCACAGCATACATTTTTATAATGGCATGACTCATTGCAAAAGCCTCATAGATTCTTAGATAGTTTTTTCTTCAAAAGGAATTTTGCAACATTTTTGATTTGGTAGTATTTTGGTGTTTGATTTTGACTTGCAGGAGATTATTATTTTTATATATTTTCGTTGTTCCAGATTTTTTTTGGATTTATAGCGATTAGTCTTAGGACAAGAGAGTGGCTTTTTGGAATTTATTAACATCATAAAGACTGGAGTTGCACTTAAAATAATCTTTAACTTTGGTGGCTATTATCACATAAAAAGGATTAAACCTGATAGCTATATTATGTATATGATTTAGTTTCTGATGCGCTTCATTTTATATTCATATATATGCAAGGCCATATTTAAACTAGCAATTATAGTAAAAGTAACTGTTTTAACTATAAATCATCACTCCTAGATACACTGTACACATTTGCATCGATGCATGTGATCAGAACATGAAATGTAGTTTTAGATGCAAATGATGGACATGTTTTGGTAATCATTTTCTTGTTTTGGGAGATTTATCTCTGTAATGTTGTTTACAAGCTTCATTGCATTCATAATAGGCTTTAGAACAAAAGTATGAAAGCAGAACTGGGCTTCCAAGTCCTGAAAGCATTGATAAGTATGAGAGAACTCAGAGAAGAAATGAGATTGCTGGTTTCGCTGGAAGATGACCAACCAAATGGTTCGTTTTACTGCTTGTACCTGTCATAATTGCTCCTATTAACCTTGGTGATACCAGTACAGCTCAACTTATTTATGTGCAGGAATTATTTCTGATTGGAGCCTATAGCCATGGCGAACAGTATTTATATCTTCTAGTATGTAGCCTACTCAACAGTGCAAAGAGATTTCAGTATGATGCCACATATATGAAATATATACTTCATTTGGCAGATGCTTTAACATAATCAGGTCTGTTGATTATAGCTGTGATTACACATGATTTGTTTTCTTTTGAGATACTTATGGTCTCTGTCTCCTCTTCCTGTATTTGAAAGATTTTGCAAGTAAATTGGTTATTACTTCAATGTTATTGAGATAGCAAATAGCTAAAAGTTGCTTCAAAACTTAATGGTTGAGCTTGGCATGCTACTTATGATGAACAATTTATTGAGATTTAACTTTAGCATATGAATTGACAAGCATGGTGCTTTCATACTTGGGTAAAACTTTCTCTTCATGAGGAGTGAAGGATGCAATTAAAACAAGAGAAATGAGATATTGGATGTGAAAGAGACCAAATGAGATATTGAGCTTGATGGTTTCCAACTTTGTTGTGTGGATTAATGTCCTGAAATTGACATGATAGTTTTTGTCAAACTGCTCCTGTTCAATATTAGCAACAATCTTAACTTTTATATCAAATTAGGAAAATTTTCTAATAATGAATTCATGCAAGCTATGTAATATATTCACTGATGCAGCTTTTCTGCCAAAGTGGATTACCAGCATAAGAATGCTTTGAAATATTTAAATCAGTGCATAATTTGATCTAGTGGTCTGTATATAATCCATTAACAGGGAACCTACCTTCGCACAGCCTGTAATCCACACATCAATACAAGAATGTGGAGCACAACACCACTGCAGGGAACAACAATATCTATACAAAATTCCCTTAAATAGGAAAAAATGACATAAAATCTTTTAAGCAAAAGTGCAACTTGTTGAGGCCACCCAATGTTGTGATGTTACCATCTGATTCAACTCAAAATGTGTATGATCATATAAGTGACCTGGAATTGCCAACAGTTTCGACACCATCACCTCTCCTAATAGAAACATTGGAGGCTGTGCATGGCAACAAACACTGCCTAATGTCAATCCTACATCATTTGCTAATGAAAATTAGGCCATAATTACTTCACTTGAGTACAAAATCTTCAGCAATATGTCAACTAGGCAGCAGTAACTGTCACATACTGCAACTCAGAATAAGTCAAGGTGTGCAGGTCCTGCTCATAGACATGAGTCATTTAATGGGTGACAAAATGCATTTGAAGAAAAAGCAGAAGTATTCTCAGAACATAGATGTCATACAGCAACAATAAACCTTTTGGCATATTTTAGGGCAACCACAACTTGAATCAGCTACCAACATAATAAAAAACAAACAAAAATTTCAACCAATAATCCTTTTCTTGGTGATCTCTTCATTCCACTATTTTTTCGTCAGACGAATTACTAGCTGCACTCAAGCAAAATAATATTTTCGTCGTTCTGCTGACTGAAACTGGATTTTACTACCCGGAAATGATCAAGTTCAGACTTTTCATTATTCAAATATAATGTCTTTCCATATGGAAAAGAATAATTTAAATTCTAGTGCAATGCAGTCACATTGCAAACAAAAGTCCTATTACTGTTGAATTGACTTGTGAACTTGCTGAACAACAAACAGCTTATAATATGTATAACATTACAGAGAAAAATTGTACTGCTAAATGCCTCAATAACCAATTTCTGGGGGCTTGAATCTCTCCAAGCAGATCTTGCCCTCAGCTGAACATGCTAAAAATTTTTCCCAGCAATGCTGATGAATGGACAGTATGTTGTTTTCTCTACCATAGTATGCCACATAAGATAAATATTAGAGACCTTATCGGAAAGACCACTGTATTTCCTCAAGAGTTCTTCCCTTGGTCTCGGGCACCCATGTTATGACAAACAAAAGTGTTAAAACACTGACTACTGTGTAGATGGCAAAGGTACCTGGTGAAGATAAAGAATTATATTAGAGGCAACAAAGGATAGGTACATACATAAAATATAATAGATGACTACATTAGTATATTGAGAGACATTTCAACCTCCAGTGCTCCAGTTCAAAAGTAAGTTTGCGGTCATTGTTATTGCAAATGACGTCAACCAGTTGGCAAGTGTTGCTACACTACCAGCAAGGCTCTTAATATTGACGGGAAGTATCTGTATTACATCATCAAATATATGAGCTTTAAGAAGATGAATACTTTAAAATGTCAACTAGGCTCACCAATCCAACAATTCCATATAGATAGCACAGTTTGGAGTAAGGATATGAAAATTTTCAATAGATGTAACAGTGGAAGAGGGTTGTGAGAGCCAAAAAGTGAACATAATATTTTCATAGATATTAAAGAGTAAACTGCACATAAATGGAATTGATATCAGAAGTTGATTTGTTAATGGCAAAAACAGTATCAGGTTTACTCATCACTCTGCCGACAACCTAGTAGGGTCTTGATTAGACATATAATATAAAATCTTTCTCAAGAAAGGCTGGCAATTAGATTACCAATTCCATTTGTTATTTTTTTTTACTATAATCAGCCAAAACTCAGTAGGGCTGTAGTTTGATTTGAGCTTCCTTGAAAATGTAAAATATTACTCAGGTCATATCAAAGGCTGGCAATTGGATTACCAACAGAATATGTCAATTTTCACAAGAGGCCTCTGAACAATAATTCTATTATAGCTTGTTATTTTAGCTTTTACTGATTTTCCATTTTTATGACCTGAGCGCAAAAACCACATGGGTCAAGCCTTTCAAAAAGGCTCTGGATCTTGGTAATGATTTATATACTATCAAGAAACTTATCCTGTGCTCAATATGGGACTATTCTTGGGTATCAAAATTTTCATCAAATACGTGAAATCTTCAGCGGGCCCACTAGTGTCACTGGATCAACAAAATTCTGAGCACTTAGTAATGTGAGGTCCTAGAGATGCCATCGCCCACCAAATTGCTGCTACCATTGATGAGGCCTATCTTTGCTAGATCGAAGGTTAGTCATAATGCATAGTAGCTCCTAATTGGCCTATACACAATGTCAGTTATTACTTTGATATCATATTTGTCATGGCCTAAGCTTGAACACTACAGGGCAAAACCCCTGAAAATCAGAACATATTCTGTGTTTTGGTAAAGACACTATCAAAAAACTTAATCCATGCTTAATATAAGGCTAGTCCCATACTTATTGGACTAAAATTCTTTTGTTTATGATTGCCTAATTTCGAGAGGAAAAAAATCATGGGCCTCTTGCACAAACAAAATTCTAATTCTTATTGTTGGAGTTTCTCTATAGGTATTTCCAACTTGAACCTGAAAAAGCAAAAAAAGGGAAAAGCAATGCGTGTTTTGGGAAACAATATCAACAAATTACTTTGTGAGAATAAGGGACTTCTAAGACTTTGAGCAAGAATTGGCTGCTAAATTATTTCTGCATTATCCGCTACTTATAATCTTCCTCACTCCTTTTATTTTTATCTTTCCTCTTCATTACAACAATCACATGCCTCTTGTGATTGTAATCCATATTGGTTCCATGTTCCTAATTTTTTATTATGCCAGCTAAAAGTTTGCTTCTAGGTTCTATCACCTCTCAATTATTTATTCAGCTGGTGAATGGGATGAATAGCTATTTAATCAAATCAAGATGTTTGTTTGATATTTCAATTCTTACATTTATGTAGTATTCTGAATAGTGCAGTTATTATTAAATAAAATCATTGCTGAATTTAGTTTATTATTTGTAATTTTCTTTTTTTAATCAAATCCACAAGTCAAAATTATGTGTCTTCTTGCTACCAAATACTTCACATTATTGTTCTCCATGTTTCAAGGAAGAGGAATCTCTAAATTTCCTTAGCCATCAGTTTGTTCAGAATCATTTATCTGTTATCCTATACAGTAGCAGAAAAGTAACTAAATTGGACTAAACTTTGCTTGTTTTTATCCATTGATCCGAGCTTAGCCTTCTACAAGAGTAAGATATTTGTAAATCTCATGAGAAGGGAAGTCCGAGCTTAGACAAGCAATAATTTTTCATTAATTTGGCGCTAGACTTACTGGACTAAAATTCTTTTGTTTATGATTGGCTAATTTTGAGAGGAAAAAAATCATGGGACTCTTGCACAAACAAAATTCTAACTCTGAATTCACAAGATATCTACCTTTACAGAAGCAGGAACCTTTTTTGCTAAAATAACCAAGTTGCACAAAACTAATAACCGTTCAACCAAATGGATCTCCAACATGAACATAAGAACAATGAATAATATACACATATATATAGGAAGGATTTGCCAACTACATTGGAAAAACAGTGTTCAAAACCCGAGAACTACCGGCGTTCTTTTTACAACTTAGCTTTGCTTACTAAAAGATATCATAGGATGAAGATGTAAACTAATGGTCATCACTAAAGTATCCTTGTATATCCAAAGTTACAAATATGTTAGATTGCCATTTGCATCTTTTCACTTTTCTTCAATGATTGATGAATGATCACGAATGATGTTAATAGGCTTTTTCTAAATGCACTTCCATATAAGACCACTAAGAAGAATTGTCCCTTATCTACTCATCAGGGACATTTGAAACTTGCACCAATCTTTTGCTGAATTAAAATAAGTAAAATAAACTTTTACGTACCTCGGACATAATGATCCATGGAATTGCTCCCAACCCAAAAGAGAAGGCAATGACAAAAGCCTAAAGGAACATAAATAGCTTAATGCTTTGAAGAGAATGGATACTCCTACAGAACTGCAAGTTCATGATTGACATTACATACCACAAGTCCAACCAATGAGAGTATGCTCATTATATAATAAGAATGAGATTCTTCAGGAAAGACACCCTGTCTCCAGTAAATTGCAAAATAGTACAAATCATTAAACAATTTTGAGCAGTGAAAAGGCCTTCATAAGTGGCAATAAAGAACTGCTGATCATATTAAAAAGGACGATGATAATTTTTTTCATCAGTGCAAACTGTAATAAGGTGTGTCATAGGATAGTAATCATGTTGTAAAAGCCTAGGAAACAGACTACTGCCAGACTGACCTCCAGAAAAAATGCAACTGAAACTAGCAGAAGACTTAAAGTCATTCCTGCAGCGGAGATCTGCAATCAAGGATCATTTTTTAAATTTATTTGCTAATTATTATGAAATACCAGAGTGAAGAAGGAAAACAATATTGCTAAAGCTCACTATAAGAAGAATTCTTCGACCAGCTCTATCCAGTAACCAAGTGGTAACTCCAGTAGCAACAACCTGAATGACATTTGATGAAATTTAGTGTAAGGAGAGGATTGACCAAATGAAATTTTAGAAAGACAAAAATAACATTTTGAAACAAGAATCAAGATGACTACCTGAATTGCTCCAAGACCACAAGTGGCCAGGTTACCATTGGTAAGCCCTGTTTAAGATTGGAAAAACAAAAAAATCAAATTTGAGCATCTTTATCATATTCGACAGTGGCTAAGGCGTACAGTTAGGTGCATATGACATAAACATGTATCGATCTACATTCATAAATAACCATATATGCACATTAAGAACTCTTGCAAAACAGATGTGACAAATTATGGTCCAAAGTTGAATAGACCAGTAGGTCTAATTGGAATTTTGGAAGTTAAAAGTAGAAAATCTACTGTTATAGAAAAGTACAATTGTTCAACAATGTATCACAACTAAAGTGTGGTGGAAGGCAAATCAACAAGCATAGCATGATAAAAGGAGAACACAAAATCACAACACGGTTATAAGGAATGAAACCATTTCAAATTTTCAATTGTTCAAAAATTTACCAGCAGTTTTGAAAATGTTGCTGGCATAAAAAAGGATGCCATTGATTCCACTTAGCTGCTGTAGTACAAGTAGACCAATGCCTATCTGTGGGTATTACATATAATTCAGATGAGAATAGTGTGGCTGCTTTTCTGACAGAAGAAAGACCAACTTTCTTTATACTACTTCACCATAAGAGGAAGTTTGTATCTTCTTTGTCTCAGTTGTGAGAATCGGATTGCAGTCCTTCTGGTGGATGATGCCACTGATCTCTGCAAAAGACAAAGAAGACTTCATGTGTGGCAACATGAAACAGAGACCCTCTTCAATTTCAGATGATCTCAAACTTTTACTCTGAGAAAAAGATCAAACAGAGCAACATATTTGCATTTATCAAATTTTTTGCACTGCAAAAGATGGGAGCTGTAGAAGCCCATACCTTGATTTCATTCACTTCTACAGTGATGTCAGCATCAAATCCTCTCAGAACTTGTAGGGAAGCTTCAAAATCTTCCATCATGCCCATTTTTGCCTGCATAAAAGGGAAAAAAGGAAAACAAATCTCAATATACAAGTTTGGCTTATTGTTTGATTGGCCAAGTATCTTATGAACCTTACCAGCCACCTCGGAGATTCCGGGATAAAGAACAGACCAGGTATGAGGATTGTGCATGGCAAGATTCCTAGAAAAAATATGGCACATTAAAGTGATTTTTCACTAAAATCCAGGATCTGTAGAACTCATAGAATATGCCATTTGATGACATTGCATTACAGAAAATAAGGTAAATGTGAAGCAAATAACAACAAATTAAAGAAAAAATACAGCGTGAAAAACAAGATTTTCAGGTCAAGAAACTCAAGACTGTTACCAATTACTGCAAGAAGTCTCCACGGAACAAACATGCCCAACAGATAAGCTAGCAAAATGCCGATAGTCACAGAAAGCTACACCAACAAGGAAGCCAGAATCAGATGATGTTACTACGACGCAAAAAGAAGCTTATTTCAAGGGGTGTGATCTGCAACCAGGAAGGATGAGAAGCTCAGAAACACGAATTAACCTGATTCACAGAGCCAAGTGCCCCCCTCAAGTTCTGTGGAGCTATCTCTGCTATATAGACAGGCACCTGATGAAGACACTAATTAATAGAAAGAACCCAAGCACATAAACTTGTAATGAATTGCATCAAATTCTTGCATAAGGATGGTAACAAACTGTATAGGAGATCACTCCGACGCCGAATCCTTCCAACAACCGACCCATATACAAGAATGAAGAGTCCTTCAAGAACACAATCCAAAGACAGAAAATTAGGGAGGAAAACAACAAGAAAATTCTCGGGATAGGAGGAAAAGCTTGGAGATGAAACCCAAAAGAACTCACTTTGGCAAAGGAAATCGCCAGCCAGCCAATGATGTTAGGAATGGAAGCGATCATCAGCGACTGTGAAGACCAAGCATCAGGGTCAAACACACATCAAGATCGAGTCTCGATGCGATCAGCAACAAGGGAACAACAAAAAGGTCAGATCTGACTCACGCCTTTGCGCCCGATGTACTCCGCAAGTTGGCCGCTGGCGATGGCGCCCACCATGGCTCCGACGTTGGACAGAGAGCCAAAGATCGAGAACTGCGCCACCAACTCAAATCGTCATCACGTCAAGTGTTCCAACAATCGTCGCACCAAAGAAGAACTCGAAGAACAAGTAGGAGGAATGGGGGTTAGATCAAGGAGGCGTGGGCTTATCAAACCTCAGACAGGGAGAGGCCGAGGTCGGCTATGATGTCGTCTTGGGTGGGGGAGGAGAATCCACCGGTGAAGCCGAATTGGATTGGGCCGAGGGCGACGATGAGCGTGCAGAGGACGGCGGAGATAGAGGAGTCGCGGATGACGGAGGCGGAGGAGGCCAAGAGGCTGGATTGCCGCGACCCCATGCCCATGCCCATCCGGTACCAGCTCCCCGTGTGCAGGAACGGCTTCCTGAGGTCCCCTCGCCCATCCTCGCTCCCGCTCTCCTCCCCTCTAAAGCTCATCTTGCGAGCCTCTTCTTCTCGTCCTCTCTCTCTACCTCCCTCTGGTTTCCTATGACAGCCTAAGAGGGAGAAGAAGAGGTCGACAAACGGAAAGCGAGCGAGCGAGGACGAGAGACAGAAGAGTTGGAGATAGCGTGAAAAGGGACGAAGGACAAGTGGGAGAAGAGATGTGTCAGATTTGATAGAGAAGAGAAATCAGACAAGAAAAACCGAACCTGCGGTATCTTATAATTTAGATATTGGGATTGGATTTAGGTCGGTAATTATTTATTAATTATTTATATTTATAATATTAAGAAAGATTCATAAAAAAATTATATCTTTATTTATAATTTTATTAAACCCATATCACTAATTATAATTATAATATTATCTTTAATTATAATATTCATCGGTCACGTCCTTTAATCATAGTATCTACCATCTGCACATGTTTATACTTTCTTAAATATATTTTATATTTTATCTTTAAAAAATTATAATTTTTTTTATAAATATATATTTTTATGAGATTTATTTATTTGAAGGAATTAAATGCACAAGCATGTAAAGTTTCATTTTCGTCCATAAATGTGTTAAACAGTAATAAAAGTTTAACTATAATAAATATATAGTAAATTATATTTACTATAATTTATCTAATTTACTATAATTATATTTACTATATAATTTAATATAGAGAGGTGTATCCTATAATTTTGGAGAGAAAATAAAGTCAGACAAGAAAAATAAAACCCACTCTATCCTATAATTTTAGATATTAGGATTGAATTTTCGTAGGAAATCATGTATTATTTATTTACATTTATAATACTAAGAAAGATTCATTAAAAAACTATATTTTTTATTTATAATTTTATTAAACGCATATCACTAATTATAATTATCTCATATATTTTATAGGGATCGTCCCGGTGAAGTAGTCCGTGCTCAAGATGGGAGTTCTGAGCGAGGGGCAGTGATCCAGCTTCCGGGGTGCGGGCCCTGGAGGCCGAGGGGGAGGAGGGAGATGGTCAGGCTCGGAAGTCGCGACATGGTGGTAAAAAGGGAGTCCGAGGAGAAGGCCGGGGACAAGCCGTACGAGCACCAGGGGAGGCGGGGCGGTCTCCGATGATGACGCGCTCGACAATGCGATCACCGGAGCAAGCGATAGAGAGGGAGAGGGAAGGGGGCAGGGAGAACAAAGCGGTGGTGCAGGACTAGGGCCGACGGATACTCGAGGAGGGGGAGGAGCGTCTTGGATTGGGAGGGGACCAACTGTTGGGCGTCCGAGGAGATGAAGAGGGAAAGGAAATTAAATAGCAAGAGAAAGAGGAGAAGGCTGGTGGACGAGTTATGCTTTGGAAGTAATAAAGATCCCATTTTTAGGAGTAAGAACACAAGACTCGGTTTTGTTGGATTCCAGTCTTCACTGTGTTCAACAAGACAATGCCATATTTCGGTGTAAGCACGGACTCTATTTTTGTTGAAAGCGAAGAGAGAGAAGAGGAAGAGGTCGGCGTCTATAGAAAGACGTTACTTGCAGTGAGCTCACAGTTGACTGGTAGATTGATCTGTAAGTTGAAACGAGAGGAAGAAGAAGAGTAATCCCTCGCCGCTCGCGATTAAGAGTAGAGAAAAAAAGGAAGTAATATGAGGACATTTACGTCTATTCCTAAAAGAATATTTTAGAAATATTATAATTTTTTAAAATAAGATTCTAAATAGTAATAAGGGAAAGAGAATTCTCGCACTTTATTATTATTATTATTATTATTATTATTATTATTGTGGTCCTTATTGGTCTCATTTTCCAAAATGATGACATCACCATCATCATCAATGTCATCGGAGGTGCTGCTCGTCGGCGACCTTTGCATCTGCGAGGGAACGCAGATGTCTTACGTCGCGGTCCCGTAGCCGTCACAGATGCAGCAGACCGGTGATCGTTGGAGATCCTATCGATCCGTTGGGTGCTGGTCTATGTGGCGCCTTGTCGAGTCCAAGGGCACAGCAACCACGGCTTCATCCGGCACCCAAGCAGCAAGACCACCCAATGTGCCTGCTTCGTGAATAGGCACATTGCAGTAGCCACATCTTCCCGGACTTGGATGAACTGCAGGATGCCTAATGGTACTTCTTTCCTCTTCTTTCTGAAGCTGGCTTATTTGAAATCGCTGTTTAATCTTCTTTCTTCTATGGAATGAGTTGAGCTGCTGTCTGCGCTTTGTTCTTCCTTCTATCGAATTTGTGTTTCATCTCATGTCAAATGTATCTGCTTATTATCTAGATAATTTCTTGCGAGTACTAGATTAGCCTATAAGCTGTTCGATCTTTTGCCATCGGACTTCATACTTTCATGTTCAAACTCGTTGGCACTTGGTGGAAGAAAATTTATCCAGTGACGCTATTGGTTTATTGTCTATCATCCTATGAGTCCCAAGCTATAGCAAACTTGATCATCTTTAGCTTTGGATTATTGCACATCCATTGCAAAATCATTTCTGATCATATCCACATGTATTGGATCATCACATGTTCATCTGCATTACAACCTGAGGTGTCATAACGTGGTGGAAAATCAAAAACAAAATTTTTGACGAGATCCAATTCCTCCTATATTTTCTGAGCAAGATAAATTGACACAATTTTTCCTTTTATCCTCCCATGATGCTATTCAGTATCTATGGCATAAGTGTATCGTGATATTAAGACAACAAAATCAAGAGGAAGAAACAATAATATCCTTACTCTTTGGAGTACCTATGCAGATCATTTCCCTCCATTAAGCTCTGTTAAGGACGACATCACTATCTAAAATAAGAGCAATCAGATTTCTTCTAATTTTCACCAACAAAATTTTCTAGTCTTGCTCTCTCTTCTTCCTCTATGTCTTCTTGCACCACTAATCCTAATTGACTTATCACATTTTTATTGTGCATACATATTAAATTATAAACAATTTTCTCAATTTTTATCTTTTGACTGAATCACCAAAACTATGCCTAGAGATGTAAATGTTTTTTATACTATCTATTCTAGTAACCATACACATCCATCTCAATATCCTTATGTCAGTGATAACAAAATTTGGTATCTTGATATCAATCTGTCTAAAAGATTAGCCATTGGTATGTGAACTAAATAATGTGTAAAAGTGATGCACAAGCCACAAAATTAAGAGCTTTAATATTCGCGACGAGTCCTTTTAGGTGGACGCATATAACAGTTTTTGCCCCTTTTCTCAAAAGAAGACAGCATAACTCTGGAGGCATGTTAGGGAATGAGTACACCGGGTACAAGACTAGGCAGCTAGCTGCAAACAAGTCTTCTATATAAACATTTACTTACAGCTGATGATCCAATGAAAGGAGAAAGGCATGATGACTAAGAAGATATAGAGAATTGAGGATGCTAAAGATCAGTGAAAGCCTGATTATCTTAGAGCCTTTAGAGTATTGGTTTCTTCTCGGTGGATCTGCAAAAGGAGAGTTCATTCTTGCATGCCTTATTGACTTCAAGCTGCAGATACTTCAACCTGCCAAAACAAAAAAGAAGGTTCACAGAACTGTCAGGTTTTATATCTAATGATTTCATGCAAACATATCCACTATCAACAAAGCATATGAAAAAGAAGAGAGAGATAACAAAATACTCCTATTCCTTTTGAAGCACGACAACAGCACTACATGAACTACGTAAGTTTCAACAGCAAAATAGATCTTAAAAGGCCTTTCTATTGAAGCCTAGATTACCCTGTAGCTTGGGAATCCAGTAGCTCGAATTAGGTGCATTGGAAGACAGTTCAAGATCAAGTATGTAAGCATAAGAGAAGGGCAATAATGCAGAGAGGAGCAATGAATGATAGGCAAGAGAGATAGGATACCCCTGTGGCCAGATGACAGGTAGCTGGCATAAGGCATGTGGCCCTTCTCAATGCGCCTGATGTCCGCAACGAGCAGCTCATAGTGGCGCTTTACTTCCTCAACAGTCTTTCCTCCCACGGCACGAGCAACGTTGTGCCAGCGTTCTGGTGTGTCCTTATCATACACTGCAAGGGCATTCTCAAACATCTTGTTCTGCTTCGCAGTCCAGGATGAGCTCACTGAACTGGTTGTCATTTCTTGGGATATGTGCTCTATAGACTACTGAAACAAGAAGAATATGATTAACTTCAATTGGTGTTGGGAGGGAAAGGAGTCTTGTTTTGCTCTAAGCTCACTACCACAAGTTTGTGCAGGTGATGTGGGAAGGAAGTTGCTCCTGGGTGCTATTTATAACTAAGGAGGGCGTAAGGGTAGAAGAGTTTTGTGGTGGAGTCAGTTGGAGAATAATGCTCCCGAAATGATTAAGAAAAAGAATAAGGATGTATGATCACTGCATTTATTGTAATGTGGGATAGAATACAAAGATTGTGTTGGGGAGGAGTAGCAGATCATGTTATCCCTCTCTATAGACATGTTCAAATATATCTTTCAGTATTGTACATGGAACCATCTTCATACTGCCAAGCTCCAGGTTTACATGGATGTGCAAGCAGAGAAAGAAGTGATATCAAGTACATGTAACTAATAAAATATTATAATAAACAACACACCAACTAACATCTTTTCTTAATACATGGTACCAATCATGGCAACAGAAAATTCATTCTGGTTTTGTTGATGTCATAATCTCCTGCTTCTTGTTTGTTTCCCATACTAGGAGGGGGCAAACTATGTGGTGATTAGTTAACTAATAATTTAAATGGATTTGGATTATGAACTTTCATGAGATCACAAGATTCTGCTGATAAATTGAACTTTCCACTACCATAGGAAGTGAATAATACCTAGTTAGCAGTTCCTTTTATGGGAAAAGCCTCTTCAGTTGATGTAAGGATAGGGCAATATGACTTGCAATCTTTTACTGTGATACTCTTCTACTATTAATTCTTAGTTATTTTATTCAACAACAACAACAACAGTAAAACCATAATTCTTAGTTATTTTATTATCTCTCCAAATATGGTCCGGAAAGATGAGGAGAGTGCATTCATTATTCACCAACATTTAATGAACCATGCACATAATCCACCCCTCCTAAGTTGATGCATATAATCAAATGAATGGCTAATTTAGCTGCAATATTTTCCTCTAAACAATGGCAAGTAAAGAATTGGTAAGAAAAGAGCTCAAAGATGAATTTGAGGTTGAGATAATTCATGCAAATTTTTGCAAAATGTAATATTATCTTTTGATAGATGTTGCATTTCCAGATTCCTCTTTCCAGTAAGTTGCCATTGGGGGACATCAACATTTGACAGATAGAAAGTTTTTGATTCTTGACCACTGCAAGTTGGTGTTCTGTTGCATGTTTGCAATTGCTTAAGATGGAACAGAGCAGCTCTTCCATGGTTCAAGAGGTCAAAGACCCAGTAGGACAGGAAGTGTAAGATGTTCCCACGGGTATCTGGCATGCCGGTTGTACTGGAAGTGAAGTTATCTCTGCTCTTTCTTTTTCCTTTTGACTTGTTATCATCAAGTATTTAATTAGAAAGTTACCTTTCAGTCACTATGATATTAGATCATATGATACAGAGTTTAATGTTGGTTGAGTGTAATGTTGTCCGATCTTACAAGCCAAATTACTTTTAGCTATTATTTGATCAGCTGTATCAACCCGAGTACTTGATTGTAGCAAAAGGATTAGCAAAGAATGATCTTTATATTTTCTTGATCATTGCCTAGTGATTGATATAGTTCTGGATGATCAGGGGGCAGTTAGTCAAGTATTTGAAGTGTCATTGTTAAAGTGTATCACATACATCATTGGGCTTATCACATAAAATTTTGCATAATTATCTTCCTTTCAGACTCAGAGGATTTGTCATAATACAGAAACAATATGTCAATATCACAAGTATGAGAGTCTCCTTTAGAATGCCAAGTACATATCAAGAGGCTTCAAAGATAGAACTCGATCAGCAATGTACTGTGTTTTCTGTAAGAAAGTGGATAGGCATGTAAAAAACAAAAGTTCAATTCTCATTAGAACATATTAAATAACCTTTCACAGAGGTAAATCATTGAGAAGTTCCTTTTGAAAGACAACATGAAGTCTTTTGTCCGTATAGGAAGAAGACTAATTTGGATAAAAAATGGGACCTTCTATCAATATTGTAAACTTGAAAGCTGTGATTCTTGTCCTGAGACTTTGAAATGCAACAGTCAAGCATATCAATTTTCAGCTTCCACTGTCACCAGGTGACTGGAACAGAACTCTGATCCAACAGAATCTTACCAGGATTGTGGACAAAAATGAAAGATACTTTCCTGATAGATGTGAAATGTTAAGATCCTCAGGAGATTGGCCTCAGCTAAGAATTGCTTCTCTGCTGACCAAAAGACTGACAAGATTTTTAAGAATCTGTACTGCAACAATGTGGTTCTTAGATACAGATTCCAGCTAATAGCAAGAATCTATATCTTACCTAATGTCCATAATCACAGAGAATTCACTAGATAATATTCTCATCAGTTGGTATCTTATTTACTTAAGTGATTGACTTTCAAGACTTCTACAAGAATACTTTAGATCAGCCTTCAATTCTCTAGATGCATGACAAAAGTAGGGAAAGAAAGTTAGCCAAGATATGATGCTTTACTGTTTCAGATGGCATGAAGTCCCTAGGCAATTCTAGATTCTGATACTTGCAAGACAAAAAGAATCTCCAGGTCCAAAGCAACTGGCAATAGCATCAGCATCATCTTATTTATTTATTTTTTGTTGGAAACTTCTGAACTAAAGGCACTTTGCAGCAGTACTGTGCAACCATTTGAAAAGTCTAAATATTCCTCTTAACCCTCTCAGAATCACCTCTTCTTGAATTGAAGATATGTTGATGTGTGCAAAGCATTACTGCAAGGTTTGAAATCCTTGAAATACCATAATTCAGAATGATTCATTACTGTATCAACTTTTTGTCGAAGTCTGAAGTCTATGTATATTATTTGGCTTATGCAACATCCAAATGATACCTTAGTATGTAGAGCAGTAAATATGATGCCTTATTAAGGTTGCAAATGGGCCGAGTCAAGCTGAGTTTGGCTCTGCTCATACTGATCTTAATATATTTTAGATTGTTCAAACTTGACTTGACATTAGTTTCATCTCGTATTTTGCTAGTTCATTCTTAATTCAAACTCAATAACTCAGTAGTTTGTTTATCTTACTGAGCAGGTTGAGCTCGAATTCAAGCCCATACATGAAATTAGTAAAGCTCCAATTCAACCTTAATTGATCTATGCAAGAAAAAAATATAATTCATTTGAAATTTTGTGGTTAAATTAATAATTATGCATTTCTAAATACATGTATTATCATTGATTTATAATAATTAAATAGTAATTATATGGATATATCAATTATTTGTGAACTTGTAAACGAGTTTCTACTATACAAATGAACTTGTATGCAAGTTTATTATCAATGAGTTAGCTCGTTTTGACGAGTCAAGTTTTATCATGTTCAAGCTTGACTCATTTGAAAAATCAAAAATTAACCTAAACTCAAACTTGATTCATTAGCATTAATAAACTAGTCGAGTAAACCTTTAGTGAGCCAAACATTGGACTGCTTATGAATAATTTGACTTATTTGCAGACTTAAATTTTTTAGTCTCACATTTGAAGATGATGCTAAATTGGATTGGTATATAAAATAAGCTAGGCTTGCTCTTATACAGTTTGATTTCTACTCCTTATCTAATTGGACTAATAACTCTTAACAATTATGTCAAGTGATGGTGATTAGATGAGATTGATAACGTGGTTTTAAAAATTATGAGCTAGAAGGTTAAATTTTTTTTTATTCAAATTATTAGACAAATAGATTTGTTGCCTCAAGCATGAAAAGTAGTTTCAAAGCAAATCTTTGATTAAAGGGTCTACGTAGGAAGGACTATCTACACTCTACTTAACTTGATAAGACATGAATCCACTGGAGTCATATATCTAACATGCATTCTGCTTGTATTTATATGTAACTTTTAGAAAATATAGACAGTACCATATATCTATTTCATTTCAAACAATACCATGTCTGTTTTATTTCATCTTTGTCATCCTAATTTATTGCTACATTGGACAATTGAGTTGGTTTATAGGGTTAGATGGGTTTACTCTTATTATTTTGAGCTTATTTAAGGCCATGTAATTCTTGAGCTTATTTAAGGCCATGTAAGGCTTAGTTGGATCATAACAAATGATCTCAAGAATGTGGGATGTGGAAGGAGAATTGTCAAAATGGCAGCAAGTAGAGTTCCTGTTGATTTCACCTGATGCATTCTCAAACCCATCCATCAAGAATCTTAACTTGCATCTATTTTTCTGCTTGTATTATTTCTAGTCCCAGCCTGATTAATGAGTATCCTAATATTACTTAAGTGGATCAGACTGATTCAGATACTTAAAAAACCCTAACTTGTTGCCATCTAGTAATGATAATAGGTTGACTATTTGTTTATGAATCCGATTAATTACCCAAGTAACTAAATTTATTTCAACCCCAATTGAAGTACCTATATTATATATTTCTAAAGATATCCATCCCAAATTTGATTAATGAGACTTCTAATCTATGTTAAGTGGGTGGCCTGCAATGGTTTAGAGTGGGTGTTTCTTCCCTTTCTTTTCATTTTAGCTTCTTGATGTTTGCTTTGGCTTAACTAGAGTGACTTTCAAAACACCCCATGTGAGTTTCTTATATATATCTCCAGATGGACATATAATGGATTTGGTTCCATTCTGTCTACACATGAACATCTAGACAACCTCAGTGCTTCTCTACCTGTTGTTGACTCCATGGGAATTCTCCCAATTAGAATTTCTCTAATTAGGATAAAATTGGATTCAGAGGTTGCCTGTGATTACTTTGTTCCTAGGTGTTTCAGATTGGTGTAATTGCCTCTATGTAGATTGTGTGTTTTCTTTTTTATTTCTTCTTCTAGATTTCCTTGAATCAGACTGCTTTGCAATTCTAAATGTCCATGGTAAAAACTTGGCAAAATGTGGTGATCCTTTCTGCATTAGGCTTCTTTCTTTTTTCACTTCCATATTTTACTTGCAAGGAAATTCAAACTGGGTAATGCTATGAGAGAAACATGGAACAGTTCATTTGATTATCAACTTTTGATTCATTTGGCTGCTATTTATTGTCTTTTCAGATTTGTGGGCTTTACTTGCTGGTTCAAGTTCTTCATGCTGTTTCACTATCCAAAAGTCATTTCAAGAGCATATGATGATGTGCCAGCATGGAGTGGAAAATACTGGCTACACTCAAGTTTAAATCAATTGCTACAAGTTCTTGATTGCCTTTTTTCTAATTTAGTTTATAGGCAAATAGATCCATCTAAAAGTTGAGTGATAGGTCTGTCCAGAGGTGGGAAATGAAGCTACAAGTACTCAGCATCCAAAGAGAAGCATGAGATATTGATGATTCCACAGTAATGATTCCAATTGTTAAGTCATATTGGTTTCCAGCAACTCCACGATTTTATTCAATTATGCAATCTCTGCCAGTAATGAGCTTAAGATAAGATTCATAAATTGGTACATTATCAACCTGCGATGGATGAGGCCAGAAACAGATTTGATCCCTTTTCAGGTACTCACAGACCTTGTTCTTGATAATTATATGTTGCAAGGTTGTGTTAGTGAATCCAGTGTTGTTATGGATTTGAGGCATATCTTTTTTGTAATTTAACTACACTGTTACAATTGCACAATTAATTTTCTGATGCATGTTGGATTATGGGATAAAGGTTTTATTATTTTCGGTATCTAATTGTGAACTAGCATTCTCAATAAGTGCCATATAAGAAATTGTGTGTGAATTTTTAGGAAGAAATTAGAAAAAGGATGTGAAACAATCACGTCAAATGAAACGAGTTGCTATCATCTATACACACTTTTTATGTGCAAATACTACTCTCTGCTACTATATGAAACATAAAAAGCAATATTTTAGGACATCATCAAGGATATGCATTCTTGTCTAGGCTGCTTGTACATAGCCAAAATCTCAACTTGCTGTGGTCAAACAAAGTATGATAGACTCTCATGAAGATATCTCCCTGCATCCTTCAGCAGTTTTGTGTGACAAAATTATCCATACATTAGCAGAGAATCATATTCTCAAGACATGCTCTGCATATGATAAGAACAATAAGCATAAACTCTTTCTGTCACCTGAAACCAAGTGGTTGTGTAATATTTTACAGGTTTCACCTTATTGATTGTGGTACTCTCTACATTTCTTATATTTGTGTTAAATTCACTTTTACCATTTAGAAGCAACTCAAGGCCACAGAGAGTACAATTTTAATGTTATAGATTATAAAATTCTCCACCCTGGCTGATGGTGATGATCTCAAGTGTAGCAAGTACACAAAGGTAGCCATGACATAGGGCACAAGGAATAGAGATAAAAGTGATGGTGAGTTCTTTTGGATCTCCAACAAATTTTATTGAGGCTATTATCTCTCTCTCTCTCTCTCTCTCTCTCTCTCTCTCTCTCACACACACACACACACACACACACACACACACACACACACACACACACACACACACACACACATTTCCATTCAATTTTTCAAGAGAATTCCAATGTCAAGGTTATATTTGTTGCAATCTGCAGAGAAAAACAAGTTTATGATTTTAGTTTCATGTTGCTGTTTATTCTCTAAATTCTTATTGAGATTACTTACCTATATAGTTGACTTTGGATGTATTAATGAGAAAGGGAAATGGAGATATATGTTTGAACTCATAAAGCTATAATAATCCATAGGTTCTTAATTCTGATATATGCTTATATATATTTTGAATAAAGAGTTGGACACTTTCATTCACTAACACATATGTGGTATTACTGTAGCAGCAAGAACAAGTTAGTCTGATTTGGTTGAGCAAAGTTCCCTCCACAATTCTGATGAATTCACTGCAAAATCCATGCAATAGTATATGCATCTGATTCAGACATTGTTTCCCTGAATCCCTGCTGTGTGATCAGAGTTGAAACACAAATGTTCATCTGATTCAATGGAAGTGCAGCAGAACACACAAGAAAGGGCTCTGCAACTCTCCATTCTTCATCATTGTTCACAAGCCATAAGATAGCCATAAGGTATTGTTCTCTGCTATGGCTGCCAAATCATGCAATCTACATATATATAGTTGACGTGGAATAGTGACATCCATGCTTTTAGAACTCAACTGGCTATATATAAACGCGTGTGTGAATGCATGGCTCGACTGAACAACACACACATTAAAAGGAAAAGAACCATTGATGGCCATCATAGCTTGAGTTCCTCAGGTCTCCTTCCATGGATGGAATCACTGTCATTAGCTTTTATATGCATGTAAACAAGCACACATTGTATCTCATTAAGTCAAACAGATTGACTGGCCAGCCAAACTTTGCTTGCTACATAACCTCATCATCTTATAGTTAGCAACGTTCATGTACAGTGATAGTGGAGTCATAGAGAAAGAGCAAACTAAGCCATATCATGGTTGGCTTTTCTGTGTGAAGGAAGGTAAAATGTCTTGCAGCAGATCACAGTCAGGGAATTGAAATCCCTGGAAAGGAGATTGCAGGAAGCAATGCAGATTTGGTTGGTGCATCAGGTGGTAGTGGTGGTGGTGGCGGAAGCTTGTCGACGCCGTCGGTGGAGATGCAAGCGACTGTGTGCTTCCTCGAGCAGGTGCGGGGCTGTGATGAGTGTGTTTCCCTTCATAGGTTGTGACGACAATTGCTGGATCTTGGTATGATCTCTCCACCGTCTTCTTCACCAAGCATGTCGGCGATGTGCAGCGGTAGTAGCTTCTGAAGTGGAACAAAGAAATATATTGATCATTATCATGTATATTGACATAGCTTATGTTGTTTCAACAGGAACATTTGATGCAGATCGATGCAGTAAAGACACCTCGGAAAAGGGCTGTTCTTGACTGCCTTCTGGCCGTACTTCCTCCACCTATAGCCATCTTCAAGATGATCAACCTCGCTCTTGGTCATGAAAGCAAAACGAGGCTCTCTTCGTCTTTTCTCTCCTCTCTTCTTCGGTTTGCTCCTGCATTATCAAGTGCCGGCCATCAAGCTTAATGTTCATCGTAACATTTTGATGAGAACGTCTCAAAATGGAGAAGAGAAGATGACGGATCTGAGCTAAAGAGAAGAGAGACGAAAGAAAGCTGTAAACCCTGAAAGCTTCTTTTGTTAGGTAAGATGAGAAACCTACACTTTCTTGGACTTGTCGTTATCAGCTTTAGACTGTAGCTTTTGTTCCATCTCGATCTCCTCTTCCTCCTGCTTCAGATGATCTTTCTTGCGTCGGCTTGTGTCCTCCTCGCCTGCTGCCTCGGTCGACGAAGATGGCACTGAAGAGCTCGGTGATGCAGGCGACGTGCCTGCACCGCACCCAGTCGACGGCGTCAAATTGTTAGTGGAGTTGACAGCACCATCGGCCACTAGCTCAGGAGAGGCGAGCTCGCCAGGGTCAAACGCGTCCAGCTTTAAGTAGTCATCGAAGCTCATGATAGGAGACAAGGGTTGCAGGGTGCCGATGGCAGCACCGCTCGGCATCTCACCGGAGAGCAGCGACAGATCTCTCTCGGCGTAGAAGGAGAAGTCATCGTGGAAGTACAGCTCTCTATCGTTTGCGGACATGGAGAGGGCGATGGAGGACGAGGCAGTGGGAGGAGGAGGAGGAGGAGGAGCAGCAGGGCCTTGAAGGAGAGGAAGAGTGGGGCTGAAGCCTTCCTTTATTCTGTGGTGCTGAGCATCGCAAAGTCAACGGTGACCTGAGAAGCGGGCAATGAGTCAGCGACAACCGGCTGCAGGCGGTCGGTCACGTGAGTGGAAGGGGGAGCGGCGGTCAAATGTCGCAGCTCCTTTCCTTGGCCTTGAAGGCTCTCCCGACGCGTGGCCGTGGACGGCCGCGCTGTCGTTTGACCGGTTGTCGTCACGTGGAAGACAAGTAGTCATCGGACTCGTCGATCCCGGAGGCGGGGATTTACCACGGTAAGACGCTGCCATCCGTTGGATCAAGATCAGACGGACGACATTCTGCAAGTTAGATCACGATGGATCTGAGAAAGTATTTTTCCCTTTTTTAAAGTATTTAAAAGGGCAAAATTAAGAAAGTCGTTTTTTAATGTATTTTTTTAGAGAAAGACATTATTTTTTTTTTCTAAATGGTAATTTTTTTAAAAACATTTAACATTTTTGAATTGAAACTGACATACTGATACAAGTTCTCCCTTCTAAATAAGACAGATTTTAACGAGTCTGAAATATATATATATATATATATATATATATGTATATATATATATGTATGTATATATATATGTATGTATATATATATGTATGTATATATATGTATATATATACATACATACATATGTATGTATATATATATGTATATATATATATATATGTATGTATATATACATATATACATATATATATATA